AATGCCTGGGTTTATATTCACATTTTTAGCAGCCCTATCATGCCTATGGCTTATATTGAGCTGTTGGTCAACTAATCCACTTCAGAGATATTTTAAATATAATCAATACTTTTCAGTCATTCTCCCTAGTTTTTGCTCTGTGGCTGATACCCCCCACCCCCAAGAACCTTAATATAGGACCTTTTATTCATCCCTAATATGTTACAGTTTGATTTCAACCTACTGAGGTTTTTCTGAATCTCATTCCATAATGTTCTATTCCAGTAATCCCTCCTAGTTCTGTGTCTCATGAATTTGACCAGTACTCATTTTAATCTCCATGCAAATTTCTGATACATGATGGAGAAGCAGGAGTGGAACCCTGGGAGATACCATGGAGCCCATCCACTGTGAGCACACTGACCACTCAGCAGTTGTCCTGGGCACCATTAGTCAGCACACTGTGACTCCACCCAGCAGCACGCCCACCAAACCTACATCTCGTCCTCTCATCCACAACATTATAGGAGACATTTCTGTAGCCAAGAGGAGTGACTTCATGACTTCAGCTCCTGGCACAGGCTATTACATGAGGTTTTTCAGAGAAACTTCTCAGCAGCCCACAAAAATTCCCTTTGGTGGTCTGGGCAGCTCCCTGCCCATCAGGCCAGCTCTGCCAGGAGCACAGGCTTTAGCCACAAAGTCCTGGATGGAAGAATCCTCTGGCAACTCTCAAAGGCTCTCCTCAGACATCCTGAGATCTGGGCCCTTTCATGACCTACTTTCATCCGATACCACAGGGAAGGGGTTATAGGGCACTGCCCATCACTTGAAAACTTCCTTAGTGCCTCTGGCTGGATGTGAAAGCTCCCAGTCTGGCTCGTGGTAACCAGTCTGACTTGTATGACAGTAAGAGGGAGGCCTTCTAGGAAAATGCAGAGTATGGAAGTTTGTGGAAGTCAATGGCCCTTCAACTCAGATGTCCCCCCAGGCAGTCCTCTCTGAGTTACTGTCAATTCATTTAGGATCTAGGCTCATGCCTTGGAATGACTTTCCAGTTTTCCCTAAGGCATGCATCTTGCCTTCTCAGATTATAAGGACTGGAAGACAAGGACCAAGTTTTCTTTCCCTAATGGTGTCCTAAACTGTGATGTGCGTGCAGCAATCAACAAATGTCCAGGATAAAGGTAGATACCAAACTTTCTTATCTTGGATTCTCAGCCCTTCCAGAATAAGAAAGTACTTTCCAACATACTTTTTCAATCACTTCTCTACCTATTCTACCCAATTAAGATTCTGCTTTTCATATGACCCATATTATTTCCCCTTCAAATGCCCAGCACTAGAACTGCCCATAGAGGTAGTCAATAAAACCACTCTGTTGAAGTGATACCCACAGGGTCCTTTTCTGGAATCATTTTTTCCTAGTGGCAAAACCCACTGACATTTTGGCCCACCTTCTTTTGCTTCAAACCATCAAGGACTTTCTTATGCCCAGAAGCCTGGATCTTCACTTGACAATCAAAGTGGACTATTCTGAGGTTCTAGATGAACAGAGGCCCATTAAAGATGTTATGAATAAGCTCACTGTCCTAGCAGGCAGAGCAATGCTATAAAGGAATGGTTTGCTTCTATGTACTTCTCATTGCTATTTAGTTTGGTATTTTATCCTGGGAGACTCTTCGCCTAAGGGGATAATGATCTTTGATTTGCATTCCTGGGAAGAAAATTTGGGAATTGGCGATACTGTTCCCATTAGGTACCTACCATTATTTCTATTGGATAAAATGGTGACTTAGATAGATCCCCTGCCTCCAGGAGCTTCCAATCTTGTTGGAAAGATGGGGTACATATAAGTGGGTGCTAATTATTCTGTATGAGGTTATAAAGAGTGGAGATGAAAAGTGTGAAACTGGGTTGGAAAAACCCAAATCATAGACTTCGTGTAAAGCAAAGTTGTCATCAGTACCTGGAGCATTAATAAAGTACATCAACTCTATAACAATCTCATCTAGTTATTCAAAAGAGCAGCATTTGAAGAATGTTGGCTAAAGTGATCTCATCCCGCCAGCTGAGAGAAGGCTAGAGACGCTTTTCCGTGCTATAATGCAGGCTTGGACAAGTTCCCAGCATGCTCTAGGAATCTATGAGAAGAGAGCTGGACAGTGTGAGTCATGAGAGGAAAGCATAAAGACCACAGTCTGGGTAGCACTTCCGCTGGAGCCCAAATTGTGCAATTTCAAGAGTCACTTTTCTTCAGCATTAGTCTTGGGGTCAGCTGGAGGTCAAAGCACAGTGAAGGCTCCTTGGCCTGGACCCATGGCAGCTCCCACTGCCCCCTGAGGGTGACATCGAACATGTTTCTTGAGAAAAAAAGTCTTGGCTGCCTACTCTGCTGGCTCTAAGCCCCACATTCCCTGCGCAGAAGAGCAGCGCCATAAATACCTATTAATTTCATTGTTTAAGTGGAGAACTTGCTGAAAAGATAAATCTGAAATTAAATCATAAATGTAGCAGAAAGTTCACGGGCCTTTTGCCATTCCCAGATGCTGCCTTGGGTCAGGCTGGCAACATCAGAATCATCTGAGAGAGCTGAAAAAATTAACCTGGTCCCACAGTGGTAGGTTCTGATTCAGTAGGTCTGAGTGAGACCTCAGTGTCTGCATTTTTATAAAGAGTGAATTGCACTTTTTTTTTTTAATCCTCACCCAAGCCCTGGCCGGTTTGGCTCAGCGGTTAGAGCATCGGCCTGCGATACAGAGAGATCCAGGTTGGGCTCCCACTAAGGGCACGTACCTCAGTTGCAGTTTGTCCCCGGCCCTGGTTGGATCGTGCGGGTGGCAGCCACTCCATGTGTCCCTTTCATGTCGATGTTTCTCTCTCCTCCCTCCCTCCCACTCTATCTGAGCAAAGAATGGAAAAATGTCCTCAGGTGAGGATTAAAATAAATAAATAAATAAATAATCCTCACCCGAGGACATTTATTTCATTTCTTGTTCAGACAGAGTAGGAGGGAGAGAGAGGAAGAGAGAGAGAGAGAGAGAGAAAAACATCGACGTGAAAGGGACACATTGAGTGGCTGCCACCCACATGACCCAACCAGGGCCGGGGACAAACTGCAACCGAGGCACATGCTCTTAGCGGGAACCAAACCCGGTCTCTCTGGACCGCAGGCCGACGCTCTAACCGCTGAGCCAAACGGGCCAGGGCGCACTTTTTTTTTAATCCTCATTCAAGGATATTTTCCCATTTATCTTCAGATAGAGTGGGAGGGAGGGAGAGAAAGAGAGAGAAACATGAATGTGAGAGAAACACATTGACTGGCTGCCTCCCACACGACCCCGACCAGGGCCGGGGATGAACTGAAACTGAGGTATGTGCCCTTGAACGAAATTGAACCCGGGACTCTTTGGTCCGCGGGCCCATGCTCTAACCACTGAGTCAATCCAGCCAGGGCTGAATTGTACTTTTATACACAACTGGAACCAACATAATAGAAAATGTTTTCTCTAATTTTTTTATCAATGTCAAGAAACTTTAATACACACACTATTTAAACCCATGATTCCACAGCTCCACTTCTTGTCATAAATTCTACTGAAATCATCAAAGATGCAGTCAAAGATTATGAGCAATGATATATACTGCAATTCTAGATATATACTGATCACTACAAGCCCAATAAGCAAGAAAGGTTAACTACATTATAGCAAGTTCATAAGATAGAATATTTGGCAACTAATAAAAATAATGGTTTGGAGAATATTTGATAACATGATAAAATTTTTATGATATGAAACATTACATTAAAATTTTAGATATAAAACTTTGAGTCATAAGATTTCAACATAAATATTACCCAGTATGTGCATTTTTAAAGTGATTCTGAACGCCAGCTAGATTTGGGAACGACTTTCCTGTGGTAGCAAGCCCCCGCAACGGCCCCCAGCGATCTCCACCTCCTGCATTTACACTCTTGAGTAATCTCTCACACTGTACATGGTTGTGTTTTATGACCAATAGAATACAGCAGAAATGATGGGTAGCACTTCTGAGATTGGCTTAGGAAAGACTGTGGCTTCCAAATTTTGCTCTCTCTTCTCTCTCTCTTTCTTTCTCTGGATCTCTCACTCTCGCCTTGTCTTGAGTAAACTCAGGCAGCCTATGGAGAGATTGTGTAGAGAGGACCAGAAGGCTCCAGCTGGCCGCCAGAAAGAAGCTGAGTTTGCCCTGGCTTGTTTTGCTCAGTGGTTAGAGCATCTCGGAGAGTCCCAGGTTCAGTTCCCACTGAGGGCATGTACCTTGGTTGCAGTTTGTCCCCGCCCCAGTTGGGGTCGTGTGGGTGGCAGCCACTTGATCGATGTCTCTCTCTCACATTTATGTTTCTCTCTCTCTGTTCCTCCCGCTCTAACTGAAGATAAATGCAAAAATGTTCTCGTGTGAGGATAAAAAAAAAGAAACTAAAGCTTGCCAATTACCACGTGAGTCAACCTGGGAGAGGATCTCCCAGCTCCAGCAGACAGCCTGACTATACCCTTATGAGACTGAGCAGAACAACCAGCAAAGCCACTCCCGGATTCCTGACCTTACAAACTATGTGCCATAATAAAAGTTTGTTGTGTGAAGCTGCAAAATCTGGGCGGATAAGTTGTTATGCAGCAATTGATAGCTAATACATTTTCCAAGTACAAAGGGCAAGCTCCTGAACATGGCACAGAAAGCCTTTCATGCCCACCTTTCTAGCTGCATTTCACATGACCCCCATTTTTTCTTGAGCAGTCCTGACCTGCTTATCCCCAGTTCACACCTCCCTGCCTCTGTGCCTTTGCCTAAGCTATTCCCCACTGTTGGCATCGCTTTTCCAGAAATTCTCCCTCAACTGCCCTTGCACCAAATCGGGTTGGCTTGGGTGCCCCTCCTTAGTGCTCACACACACTTCTTGAAATCAGTGAGTAAAGGTGAGTTACGTGAAGGAAAAAAAAGCATCCACACGAAGGAGTCATCAAGAGCACACGACTTGCCTCTATGTGGTTGATCAGTGAATTGTCGAACTTGAACCCAGGAATCCTTTTCTCGCTGCACACCACACCCACGTCTTCTGTGTGCTTGCAGTCGGTGACACCCCAGCCGTTGGAGGAGCAGGCTGCAAGGGTCGCCTCTTTGCCAGTGCAGTGGATATTGTCCAACCAGATGGGCCCTGAAGGAGGTAGAGAAGAGAAAAATCAAGCACTACATCAAACTAGGTTTGAACCTTTGGGGGCACCACAGTTGTACACAGAAAGAGAATTTTTCTCTAATCTTGGCAGCTGTGTGTGGTCATCAATTGACTTTTAGTGTGTTAAAATATTGCATATATTTCTAGACCATCTGGATTCCCTTGCCAGAGGGATGTGACAGGTTGAACATGATCGGGGTAGAAATCAAAGTTGAACCTGAATGTCATGTAGTCTAGGGGAAAGAGCAGGGACTTTCGACACTAAGCTAGATTTAAATTCTGGCTCAGCCACTTAGCTATATAACCTTGGTCAAAGCCCTTTTATCTCATCAGTAAAGTGGGAATAATAATGACATTTGAATCACAGGAGTATATGTAGACTAGAGATAATAAATAGCACATGCCTGGTTTATTATTGGCCCATAGTTATTCAAAAATGGCAGCGATGACGATTTTAGTTATACTGACTACAGCACAAGCCAGACTCACCTTCTATCTGTAGCACAGTCTGAACCGTGACCCCTCAGGGAAAGTCTAAGCTATCCTGCAATTGAGGCTTTTAAGGCATTTTCATGTGTTACTCCCCTGATTTCCGCATGCTTCAGGGAAGAGGATGAGGTGAAGCTGTTATGCACACTTCACAGATGCAGAGCTCTGGCTCAGAGAGGGCAATTCCCTCTGCCGGCCCTGCGCCCGGTGCCCTGGCCCATTCAGTGTTCTCAATTCCTGATGCTTCCATCCACCGACTCAAAGACTAATCCACAGAGCTGCCTCCTTACGTTTCAGAAGTCAGGTGAAGGCAGGGCTGGGTGGCAGCAGGGCCATCAGCTGGGAGGCCCTGTGCGGGTGTGCTCATCTCCGGTGCGTTTACCTGAGTGTGCACAAGGTGCTAGAGAGTTCATCACAACGAGACACCACCTCACACCTATTAGGATGGCTACTACTAAAAAACCAAAAAACAAAACAGAAAATAACAAGTGTTGGCGAGGATGTGGGGAAACCGGAACCCTTGAGCACTACTGGTGGGAATGTAAAACGGTACAGCCACTATGGAAAAACAGCATGGTAGTTCTTCAAGAAATTAAAAATAGAATTATGATTCAGCTATTCCTAAAAGAATTGAAAGCAGGGCCTCAAAGACATATTAGCACATCCATGTGCCTTACAGATTATTCACAACAGCCAAGAAGTGGGAGCAACCCAAGTGTGCATTGAGAAAATGTGGTGTATCCATACAGTAGAATATTATTCAACCTTAAAAAGGAAGGAAATTCTAACACATGTACAACATGGGTGAATCTTGAGTTCATGATGCTAAGTGAAGTAAACTAGTCACAAAAAGGCAAATACTGTGTGATTCCACTTACACAGGTGCCTAGAGGAGTCAAATTCACAGACAGAAAGTAGAATGGTGGGTGCCAGGGCTGAGGGAGAGGGAGCAAGGAGTGGTTGTTGAATGGGGACAGAGTTCCAATTTTGCAAGATGAAGAGCATTCTGGATATTGGTTGCACCACGATGTGGAAGCATTTAACACTACCAAACCGTACACTGAAAAATAGTTATGATGGCACATTTTTAATGTTATGTGTATTTTGTAATAATTAAAAATAAAAAAAATTCAAAGTGCTACAGGGTTTTCCAAATAGTCATTTTTATTTATAAGTGCCACTACAAAATGAAAGGAAACAAAATCAGGTAAACACTTTTCTTAATGACTCCGTATAGAACTCTATAGTATAATGAGGTCAGAAAACCGGGATTCAAATTCTCTCTCAGGCTTGGGTGTTAATGCCTCGGTGAACTGCTCACAAAAGCCTGTTTCCCATTTCTAAATTGAAATCAGTAATACCCAGCAAACAGGTTGCCATGAATATTCAATAAATAATCTGTGTTCCTAGTACATGTTCAACCTCCCTTTCCCCTTCCTCCTCCCAGTAAGTCAGAAAAACAATGAAAACTGTTATTTCCATAATGCAAGAAAGAAGCAGATAAAAACATTCCCATTGTAGAGATGAGAAAACCAAGGAGACCCCGAGGCTCTGAAAGGTCAGGGAGGAGGCAGGGCCAGTCTCCTGGCAGGGAGGCCCTGATGACAGGTGTCTGCTGAGACAGATGCTGGTCAGGGCTCCCACGAGAGCACTTCAGATGCATTGAGGGGAACAAAGGGCCATTGAAAACATCTGGGCTGAGGTTTTTCCAACTGGTTTCTCAATTTTGCCTGGTTTCCAAGTCATCAAGCTCCACTGAAACATATGCTCCCTAACGATTGCTGTTTCAACAACAAACCAGTGTTTGTCTTGCTAAGTACCAGAAACGGAAAAGACCCGCCACGGTTGATGCAGGCCTCTTCCCTGGAACATTCTGTAGCAAAGTTGCTGAAGGGACAGAGACAGTGAAAAGAAGCAGCACCCTTATTCCATCTGCAGTGAGAGGGCTCATCCTCCCTAAGGGGATGGGGAGCCACACAGCTCATGGCTAAAGGCAGCGTGAAAAGCTTAAAAAGATACACCAAGGTCTCCTTAACTTCTCATAAGAAACATTTGCAATTAGCCCCTAAATGAACTTACCTCAAAAAACTTTTTTAAGGAGCTTCAATTCACCCCCAATCAATCTACCCTCTGTGTATTCTCACCAGTCATTTTTTTTCTTAGATGGTGGAAACAGCATCACCATGCATGGTATTCTCATATGGCCTGATTTCATGACAGTCTGCTTTCCTGTATGACTCATGCCTACCACCTAGACTGTCCTGATTCCAAAGCAGCCAGCTCTGGAGCTGCCCACTGGAAGGCGGGGTGATTCTAGGCACAGTGCCGTCGATGCCATCTCAGAGCTGCTAGGAAAGTGGCACTTGGGACACATATGAGGTTCAAACCTTGGACACAAAAGCCAGTCGATCAGAAGCAAAACTTCATTTTACCCTTTCCACTCATTTACTCTAAGAAATGCTTCTGATGAAAAGAGAAGAGCCCTGGCCAGTTTTGCTCAGTGGTTAGAGCATTGGACAGCAGACCAAAGAGTCTCAGGTTCGATTCCAGTCAAGGGCACATACTTTCGTTGTGGTTCGTCCCTGGTGCTGGTCGGGGTCCTGCGGGAGGCAACCAGTCAATGTGTCTCTCTCTCACATCAATGTTTCTCTCTCTCTCTCTCTCTCTCTCCCTCCCTCCCTCCCTCCCTCCCTCCCTCCCTTCCTCCAACTCTATCTGAAGATAAATGGAAAAATATCCTCTGGTAAGGATTTTTTTTAAAAAAGGAGAAGAGATGTATAAACAAATTAACAGACCATTTGGAAGAGAACAATCATAAATCAATTTCTACTTGAATGCCTTGAGCATTTCCCTGCGCTCTGTCAGGAAAATGGAAATTGTTCAAGAGTCTTCGGGTCTCACTTGGTCACCTGCTGGCTCTGTCACTCGGATCTGCTTGGTGGAGGGTGCGCTGGGAAACAGATCTGAGCTCAGATCTAATGACAGGCAGGGGAAAGCAACTGTTTTAGGCCCAGGTGACTGAGACCCACCCAGAGGGTGAGCAGTGGGGCAGCTGTGCCCTCCAGAATGCTCTAACAGGGCTGATGGTTTCCCTGAGCTCAGAGTCACGTTGGGAGGAAAGACCCACTGACAGGCCAGGCTGACAGGACAGGCAGATGTGGGAGCTCTCCTGGCTTCATGACTACACCCTGAACTCGAGAGGAGTGGGTGACAGTGCACACTCCTGGAGGGGTGCCTCTGAGGGCCGCAGCTATGGCATCCCAGCTCATCCACAGAGCCAACTCTCAGGTTAAGCCCTATGGAAGCACACCCCAGGGCCCTAGTCACCTCCTCTGGTCCAAGTACTGTTTGCCAATTTTTCTTAATACTCTCTCAAATCAACATGAATCGATCAGCTGATATTTACAGTTTCCATTTTGAACCCCGTGTTAAAAATCCTAAACTGACAAAATTCAAATACATTTATATTTAAAAGGTCTCTCATAATGTAAACCAAGCCCCCCTTTATGTGAACAGCATGATCCTTAAAGTCCTGGAGACACGACAGTTAATATTACTTTAGCATCTGTTTCTCCCTTCCTCTTTGATACTTCTTTCCTAGTCTCGATGGTTTCAATATCCACACAGATGACCTTTCCAGAACTCTTGGACTCTTTGTCAAGCATCCTCCTCTCTCCAGTGACTCTCCTCCACCCTATGTCAGCTACTACCCCAAGGCCATAGCTTAGACGTTGTCATCACCAATAATCACACCCCCTCCCCAATCTCCGTTTGGTCCTCCTGCCCTGCATGCATGTCCCCCGCCCCATCCTTCCAGCACACTTCTAGTATTGCAGTCTCAGCAGGGACCCACAATCCATTGACCCCAGCTTGCTCCTGTCCACCAACTCCTCCACACAGTACCTTCCATGGACCATGATTTAAATTCCTCCACTCCCTTGAGCTTTTCTCCCTTTGTCAAACCTAAATGGCACTGAGCAAGGTCACCATCTCTCCAGCCACCTATGCCCACTCTTGGGCAGGTGATCGTGGGAGGGGGAAACCACACCCATCTTGTCTGATGACAGGTAAATTTTAAGTTTAGGCAGAAATAAAATAAAGTTGCCAGTGTAAAAAACCCATAGTCATTATTTAGGCTTCGACAGCCTGGAATAGAAAACAAAGCTACTCCTGGGTCACTCAACTAGCATAATAAACGGAGATGTGTGAATATGGAGAAATGTCAGGGGTTTTTGTAAAGAAGACAGGAAGTGGGTTTAAAAGCCCAGCATTTGCTAACTAGTTTTTACTGCTTTTACTCTTGTCCCTGCTAAGGAACCCAGAGTCGGGGACATCAGATGACTCCAACAGGACTTCAATTGCACAGAGGTGAGACATGTATGATATGGGATTTCCTTTCTCCTATAATTTCTAGAATAACAGAAAGCCAGGGTTGCAAGGGACAATAACAGTGATCTAATTCAATGAATCCCAAACCTGGCTACTTACACAATCACTTGAGAGGCTTCCAAAAGTCATGGAGTCCTAGGCTCCAGCCTACACCCTAACCCAGAATATCATGGGTTAGTCCCCAGGGGATACTCATGCCATCAGCAAGGCATTACTCCACTGGTCTGGGATGAGACTTTGGTTACCTCTCTTCCGTGCAGTCCGCCAAGTTGCTTTACCAACTCAGGGAGGGTCATTCTCAGCTCCTGTTTGTTTTTTTGTTTTTTAATAATGCTCTTCACCCTTACTACTTTCCCACTTAGTATCATAAACTGTGAAAGTTTCTAAAGTTCTTGAGAGCCCAACGTTCAGATTGGGAAACTGAGGTCAAAGAGGATAAGCATCTTTCATAAAGGACAAAATTAGTTAGGTCAGCAACAGAACTGAGCTCAAGGCTCTAGGCTCCAACACCTGCCCTACTTCAAAGCTCTTTCTTTTTTATCCTCACCCAAGGACATTTTTCCATTTTTGTTCAGATAGAGTGGGAGGGAAAGAGAGGAAGAGAGAGAGAGAGAGAGACATTGATGTGAAAGGGACATATCGAGTGGCTGCCTCCCCCACGACCCCAACCAGGGCTAGGGACAAATCCCAACCAAGGTACGTGTTCTTGACCAGAATCTAACCAGCAACTCAGTGGTCTGTGGGCTGACGCTCTAACCGCTGAGCCAAACCGGCCAGGGTCCCTCAAAGCTCTTACCAAAATAAATAAATACACACCCAGACACACACATACACACACATCTATCTCCAGGGAAGAAAGACTAGGCCAACCAAAGTGAAAAACACAAAGCAACTCTGTTCCTGTAGTGGCCAAACTCAAAGTAGCATGTGAGTGTTGAAGTACAGGGCAGGAAGGTGTGGAGCCTCAGAATGCTAGCCTGTTGGCAGCCTTCGTAAGAAGGAGCAAAAGGAACTCCTTGGAAGGGCAACGGGGAGAAAGGCACCAACTGCCCTGGCTGCAACAGGCCACATGCTTGGGGCGATGAGCACAGACTGACTTCAGTCCCTGCCTAAAGTCACCAACCAGTCTGGCTTGCCCAGGATACCAGACTGTGTGCTAAAACCAGGAAAGTCTGGGCAAAGCAGGACAGTTGGTCACTGTACCCTTCCCCAGCACCGCTAGGCTCCCACCTCCTTGCACAAACACAGAAACGCTGCCCAGACTGAGTATTATTATCAGGAATTCATATTCGACAGCAACTGCAGGTTTCTTGACCAGCTTGACCCCGTGCAAGCCCATTCCAGGATTTGTAGGGGACACTAGCACTAGTTCCAAAGCACAGGGTGTTTACCTTCCCCCTTGCCGTAAGAGGAGCTAGGCGCCCAGGACTTGGCCTCCACGTATCCCAGCTCCCGGCAGACGACGTGGGCTGCGTGGATGGAGAAGTCATCATCGCACACGGTGCCCCACTGGCCTTGGTAGTACACCTCCACCCGCCCCTCGCTGTGCTTCCTCTTCTGCCCCGCCAGGCGCAGCTGGATCTTGGCGACGTCGGAGGGCACCTGAGGCCTGTGGTACTCAGGAGCCGGCTGCTGGAAGTACTCAGGGTAGTAGGGCCAGCTCTCGTACTGCGCCAGGCTCAGCGAGGGGAGCAGGGAGAGCACAGCCAGCCAGCTGCGAAGGCGGGAGCCTCCCCACCTTGCCATGCCTGTCCTCTGGCTGGAGGGCGTCGTGGAGGGGGAGGGGCGGTGGGCGCTTCGGACTGCAGGCAGGGTCTCCTGGAAGAGAGGAGAGATGCAGGTTACCCAAACGTGGAAACGTCGAGGGACGTCGTACTCCTTTGCTTAGTATTTAAAGCCCTTCTCATTCTAGACTCCTGCCTCCTCTCTTCTACCACCTTTCATTTCAGCCAGAAAGGTCAGTGCCTCTCACCTCTTTGCCCACTCACCTTCCCCTATCTCTAAAATGCCTTTCCCCCCAAGGTATCTGGCAGGAAACAAAGCGCACTGAGACTTAATTTGAGGAGAGTGTTTTAAGACTATCTATAGAGACAGAGCACAGATAACAGTAATACCCCTGGCTGGCCACAGAGAAGAGCTGTTACCACCCCCAGTCTGGAAGTGCTGGGGAGGGAGTGGTTACCAGAACCTGAGAGTGGCCACACTCGGAGGGCCATCTGTCTGGAGCTGTGGCCTTAGTGAAGGGTCTCAGAGCCAACCCATAGCAACAGAGGCTCAGGCAATAAATCCTTCACTCTCCGCCAGTCCTCTATCTCTTTCTGGTGAATCCTATTGGGCAAACCAAAGCCCATTGGTAGAGTCTTTATGGGCCGGCCTCCTGGGCACAGAGGATGGTGGGGAAGGGGGCAGCACCTTGAAAGGCCGAGCAGAGGGTCTCCAGCACACTCTTTCTCTTTCTCCCCACCTCTTACATCTTCTTATTCTCTAGAGCCCAGTTCAAATCCCACCTCCTAGAGCAACATCCCTTCAGGATTCTCTGTTTCCAAGACAGGTTTATTATCTAGACCTTCTTCTCACCCTTCCCAGACATTTTCATGTCCCCAAGTAGGTCACACATTTCTTAAGGGCAGGATATCTGCTCTGGCTCCTCCAGAGTGAATATTACAGGTTCATGGACCTATTTCTTTAGTAAGAAGGTGATTTGCTCTAGGGTCTGAACTGCTGGTGAAATGCTACCCGGAGGGGTCCAGTGTGAAGTCTCAGGCACTCCCATGTGAGGTGTCCTCCCTCCCTCTGAATGTTAGCTGAGCTGGATGGAAGTGGCCTCTGCTGGGTGATGAGAATAACACCAGGGGACTTGGAGTCTCTGTCTCTACTTGTTCTTGGGCAGCTGATCTCTCTGCATACACATGTGAACTCCCTAGGGGCTCTGCTTTCATGCTCCAGGCCTTCGGATACACCAGCACAAGGCCTACCACTCCTCTGATTGCAGTATGTCTTATACCCTGGACCACAAGACGGCTGAGGCTGTTGAGTGGTTGAATGAGAAGGTCAGTGGCAAAGCCCCTTGAACAGCTTGTACACAGGGCTTGTTCTTGGATGAACTGTGGCTTCTGCAAGCAGCAGCCCCAGAGTGCAGCTTCACGCACATCTCGCACCCTTGGGGAAGCCAAGGATGCCCTGGCGACCATTCCATCCCTTTTCACAGATTCTGCCCCTGAGGGGTGCCAGGGCTGAGAGCAGCCTGCTCTTTGCACAGAGGAGAGGCATAAAGCTTTTTGTGGCAAGTGGAAAAGAGGCTGAGTGGCCTGTCACCAGGGAATGGAGGGCTAGACAGCAGAGTGGGAAAGAGTACAGATCCTAGAGCCAAATCATCTGAGTCTGAATCCTTATTCTGACACTTACTAGCTGTCCGACCTTGGGCAAAATACTTAACTTCTCTGTGCTTCCGTTTCCTGTCTGTAAAATCAGGATAATAGTTGTATCTAGCTCATAGAATTGTTTTGAAGAGTGAATGAATGGCACCTAATAAACACTATAGGAGCATCTGATAAATAAAAATGTCAAATTCTTGCCTTGGCTAGTTTGGCTTGGTGGTTAGAGTGTCCGCCAGAGGACCACTGACTCGTGGGTTTGATTCTGGTTAGGGGCACATACCTCGGTTGCAGTTCGATCCCCCGCCCTGGTCAGAATTGTGTGGGAGGCAATCAGTCAATGTGTCCCTCTCATGTCAGTGTATCTCTCCCCCTCCCCCCCCACTCTATTTGAAGATAAATGGAAAAATATCCTCAGGTGAAGAATTTCACTAAACATCCAGCCGTCCTCCTTCGATTCACAGACAAGGCCAGAAAGTTGTAGGGGTTCCTGTGGTAGCTGATTCAGGCTGTAGCTTGGCTCTGAAGGGCAGCGTCCTCGCCTCCTCTGTCCTGGCCACACCTGGTTCCCATCAGAGCACATCTGCATCCACAAGCTCGTCTACACCTCACTAGAACCCTGCGGCGTGGGTGGAGGAGGCAGAGATCACTATTTTTATTTTACAAAGAAAAAATTAGGAACCAGAGAAGGCTAAGTACTTCACCAGAGTTGCACCACGAATGCAGGCAAAGCCAGAACTAGTCGCTCCCGAGCTACCAAAACGTCAACAATTCACCATCATACAGACACCTTTCAGTTCCAACTACACTTCTTTCCCTGCCCGCACTCCAGCCCTTCACTTGGTACCCGTCCCATCATATCAGCCTATATCCAGCTTGTTTTTCCACCTAGATCAATGTGCCTCCTTTCCTAGCCCTCCCCTGCCCTCCAAGGACCCTATGTCATGATCCTTCCTGTTCTGCAAGGAGAGCTTCCCAGATCCTAATGAATGTCTTCTGATTCCTGTAAGAATAGCATTTTGCTTGTGCTTCACACTGCTGTCATGTCAGGCTCTACCAAGCCCGCAGCCCCAAGGGGCAGAAGCCGTCGGTCATTTACACACAGCACCTCCTGTTTCTGGTTTTGGCAGACTAGCTTGTATTAGATAGACTGGATAAGAACAACTGGAAGAGGTAGATGCAATTCTAAAAGCAAATAAGGATTTAAGAGCCAAGAATCCAGAGATAGGAAGTACACTGAGGTGAGCCCAAGGTCTGCGTCTGCTTTCCCCCTCGAGGCATTCGTCCACTGCAAGGCATTGGCCAGCGGGCTGAGAAGCTAGCTTTTGGCAGCCTTCCAAAACAAAACTAGGAATTCAGAGCCTGCTAGCAGGAGGCGGGGCCCTGCTCATTCCGCAGGCTTTCAGACAGCTGTAGGGAAAGGGCTAGAAGTTAGAGCACAGAGTCACGTTCTATTGTTAGGAAGCTCTAACACCCACATACTTGGAATTCCCCAAGAGAGGCGAAAAAGAATGTAGGAAAGAACTGTTTGAAGAGATAATAGCCAAGAATTACACAAAATTGATGACAGATTATCAACCCAAGCAGTATAGTTTACATAGAAACCATACCTGAGCACATCAAAATCCAGCTATGGAAAATCCGAGACATCGTAAAAGCAGCCAGAGTGTAAAAGCAGCATTACCATCAAAGGAGCAACAATAAGACCAACCAATGAACTCTCAACAGGAAATGAGGAAGGTAAAGGCATGACATTTTCAAAGCGATGAAAACAATAACAGTCAACCTAGAATTATGTAACTGTTGGAGAGAATGAAGGTAAAATAAGGACATTTCAGACAAACAAAAATGGAGAGAATCTGTTCTGAGAGGACCCACAAGATGTTAATAGTAAAAAAAGTTATTCAGGCCAAAGGAAAACTGACTCAAGATGTTAGTATGGAGGAGCAGGAGAAATGTAGAGCTAGAAGGGGCAGCTATGCAGGTAAATCTAAATAAAGATCAACCTTGCAAAACAATAACAATTATTTTTGGGGTTCAAAATATGGGGTGGGTGCCCTGGCCGATTTCACTCAGCAGTTAGAGCGTCAGCCTGCAGACCAGAGAGACCCGGGTTCGGTTCCCACTAAGGGCACGTACCTCGGTTGCAGTTTGTCCCCGGCCTTGGTTGGGGTTGTGTGGATGGCAGCCAGTCAACGTGTCTCTCTCACATTGATGTTTCTCTCTCTTTCTCCCTCCCTCTCTCCCTCTGCTGTATCTGATGATGAATGTAAAAATGTCCTTGGGTGAGGATAAAAATAAATAAATAAATAAAATAAAATATGGTGGGCAAAAGTAGGTTTCAGTTATAATACAAATAAATCATACAATAATTAATAAACAATAATACAAGAATAAACTGTCTTTCACATACTCACAGCTGTAAAGCCAGTTTTGCTCACCCCTGTATGCATATCATTAAAAACAGCAACTGGCTGGGGTGGTTCAGTGGTTAAGCATCAACCCATGCATCAGGAGGTTGCCGGTCCAATTCCTGGTCAGGGCACATGTCCAGGTCGTGGGCCTGATCTCCAATGGGGGGTGTGCAGGAGGCAGCCAATCGATGTTCTCTCTCATTAACATTTCTGTTTTTAGCTCTCTCTCCCCCTTCCTCTCTCTCTAAATCAATAAAGAAAAATATTTTTAAAGTAAATAAAAATAGGAACAGTAGCACAAAAGGCAGGAAGGGATTAAATGAAAAGTATTCGAAGGTTCTTGCATTGTCTGGAAGTGGTAAAAGTACTATTTGTTAATCTTCACTTGAGGATATTTTTCCATTGACTTTTCAGATAGAGTGAAAGAGAGAGAGGAAAAGGGGGGAGAGAGAGAGAGAGAAACATCAATGTGAGAGAGATACATCAATTGGTTGTCTCTCGCACAACTCTGTCAGGGGCTGGGAATCGAACCTGCAACCCAGGTATGTGCCCTTAACTGGGAATCAAAACTGTGACCCTTCGGTCCGAGGGCTGATGCTCTAATCGCTGAGCCAAATGGGCCAGAGCAAAAGTACTATTTTCTATTAGACTTCAGAAAGTCTAATAGGTGCATATTGTACTCTTTCTGTAATCACCATAAGAAGAGTAAAATAAAGTAGAATGAACAGGTTAATAACAAGGAGGGGTATATTGGAGTTATAAAACCTACTGATTAATCCAAATGAAAGCAATCAAGCAGAGAAAAAGTAATGTAGAACAGTTGTCACAATTAGGAAAAATAGTGAAATGGTGGATTTAAACCAAATATATCAAGTATGACATTAGATGAAACAAATACTCCTATGAAAAGACAAAGATTGTCAGAATGGATTTAACAAAGCAGAGGCTTAGGAAAAATTTGGAAAAAG